TATGTTTCCTTCCTTCGGAGTCCCCTATCTCTTTCCTGTTGTTCTCTGCCAAACTTCAATTTTACCCCTTCTTTCCAATTTGAATCTGGCGGTTTTCCTACGTCTCTTTTTAAACTTTTCTACGTTTTTTTGCACTGGACTTTCACTTTCTTTTCTCGCACAATGTTAAGAACCACTGGATGCGCATGAATGTCTTCCACCAAGAAAAGCCCATAGAACAGTGATTATTCCATTTAAATTCAGATTTCAAATAATTACGGAGAAATAACTCGCGGTAAAATATGTACGAGTGTCTGGCCGTTGCCCCGTTGCTATAATATTTACTACAGTTTCAAAACACTATCATAGAAACCATCTACATTCGCATATTCAAAAACACCCGGAACAATAACAGCTATGCTTTGCGTGTAAATTTTTGTATTATGATTATTCAATACAACAATCATCATATTCAACACAATAAACAATGCATTCAAATACATAATAAAATAAAAATTGACTTGATCATTAAAACATCCTCTAAAACAAAAATCTCCCATATTCTACCACATGTGGCACACTTCACCGGTATCAACAATTGAAAAAAAAATGTGTGAGGCGCAAGCTTTAAACCATTTGCATCCGTTTTTTACCTACCCTAGACAACAATTCATATTGCTGCTCGTATGGTTCGGCCCCCGAGCAGCTGTTAATGGCAGCTAGAACAATAACTTCGATTTGAGAGAGAATTATACATATATTAAGAAGCCATAATCTGTCTCACCGGTTGCAAGGGACAGCCGGCACTTGCCCGGTACTGGATGTCAACACACTTTTGTCATGAATATTAATTACCAAAGTAAAGCCTTTTTTCCTAATTTCCGAGTTACTATTCCCCCACAAAATCCGATAGAGGGCGTTCCCAAAGTATCCGGATGACAGGCCGTTCAACGTTCGTGGTGTGGTTGGAATTTGAGCAGCGTCTGCTGTAAGCAATAGGGTTACTGTTAATTATTTTTTACAATCGAATTGCAAGAATTGACTGTCAAAATGGTTAACTAGTATTGTAATGCCCCAGGCTGTTCCTTGAGTGCGATTAAAAAGCCAAAACAAAAATAGCTAAATATCCCGAGATGCATTAATTTTCCTTCGTCTGAGTCTTCGACCCCAGTGGATTCGAATGCTTCGTCGGGAACCTGAGTGGACGCCAAATAAATACTCCCGGGTTTGTTCACAGCATTTCCAGATGGAAAAGGGCTAGCAGAAAACCATCCTGTGCCAATAACTGGAGACAGCCGGCTTTCAACCGTAGTTATACATTGATTGAAATACAAATATTCTGTCAGCTTCCAAAGACGAGTGCAAACGGAAACAGTGAGCTGGATTTGATGGTAAATTTGTTTCTTGCCGATTCCCACATTGATCTTTTTGTTCAGAATGGCATTTATTGCGAAGTTGAAGATAAAATGCCAAATTGCTAACTACGGAATGGAAAAACGTACGTTCATTTATATATCTGCGCCTGCCGATCTCCTGGTGAATAAAATAGAAAATGAAATTGAACTTATACCTCACAGTAACAACCACCAGAAACTATTTCAGAGTTTGATTTAATAATAAACCATAGCTTATAAGGATTTTCCGTCATGGATGTTTGCCGAATACACTGTGCCATCATGATAATAAATTTTGTATTCTGCACATGATGAAGCTTTATGATGATGTGTCCATCTTTATGAAGTGAATAACCATTGTCAAGTCGATAGTCTTTTAACAACAAATATGCGAACATATCAGCTATTTCAAACGAAGGAAATATGAAGTTTTTCTTACCAAGTTTTTACGTTATACGGATCTACCAAAGTTATCGTCGACTTTTACTGTGTTTTACAGTACGACGACGTTTGTTTGAATCGTTTGCCAACTCAACAAGTTCAATAAGTTTAGCATTACAAACATCGCTGCAAGTTATACCACGATGCTGAAGAAATTTGCCGAGTTAAATTCTGGAACTTTTTTTGTTTTTACAACCCATTGCCTTATACACGCATGTAAGAATACAGAACGTCAATAAAAACAATCCCACGCAGGCTCGTTATCCGGGTATTTCAGATGCGCCGTCTAGCGAAATTCCGAGGAAAACTAACAACTCTTAGGAATACGAGACCACAAAAAAATATACTGGTATATACAAACGACTTTGATAGCGCCACCAAGTGACGAACATTGCAACTGCATTGTTTTCATAAAGCCAAGCAAAGGATTTTTTTTTATTTTTAAAAAGTACATTTATTGAAAGACACATTGTCGTTATACATAGATTGATACAATACAGGTGAGCGTCACTTCTAAATTAACATTCAGATAAATTCATTTTATATATTGTGAGTATATTGTTAATGACTTACAGTATAGCAAATGTTTGTACTTATATGATATATCTTGCATAAATTAGCTGTTCACCATCATATCTAACAATGGCTTCGTTGATGCACCACCTGTCTGCAAAACATTCTGTATTTCCGTTGCTCAAGTAGTAGTTGTATTCTCCGTCAATCCTTGAACGTAGTCTTGAGTTGAAAACCTTGACAACATCAAGTGGAGTTTCTTCAGTTATGGCATTTCTTCGGGATGAGTGAATGGCCAGTTTTGCTGACGTCAGAATGTAGTTTACCAGTTATTTTACATGTTTTTCCTTTTTTCCAAAGGATTTTATTGGTATACTTATTGCAAACCACCAGTAGGGTAGAGTAAAGTTGTCTCCCATTAGGGTTTCACATATTAGCTTTACTACTTTGAACAGTGGTGCCAGGCGGTAACATTGTAAGAAGAAATGGGGCAGGTCGTCTTTTTCTTGGCAGAATGGGCAATCAGAACTAGAGCGGTATTTGTTCTTGTATAAAAAATTACCTGTTGCATAAGCGCCATGTAGGATTGGAGGTCGTCATCTTGCTTTGGAATGGGAGCAATTGCAAGATAACATGTGGTGAAGTCTGGATATATCTCAGCAGGGAGTGATAACAAGTCTCTCCATACTGCGTCCAAATATTATGGTTATTTTTCCTTCATTTGTGCCTGTATAAGAATCTTGTAAATTGCACCTTGTTCGATTTTGTAGAGTGGACATACTATTTTTTTATTCGAGTTATTGCATGTTATTTCCAATAAGTAGTTCGAAGGATTATTGTTATTGTCATTTTTCGATGATTACCTGTAAGATGAGATTGTGTGGCTTCTATGAAAGATTGGGGAATAGAATTGAATAAAGTCTTTATTGTTTTGTCTAAAGGACGCATGGAATATACAGGAACACGTTGTTTTATTTCAGCTGAGTTTAACCATCGTTTTTCGC